AGAAAGGGACACATAGTCCTGCTTTTGGGAGGCAGGGTAGGGTTAAGGGGCAGGGGGCAGCAATTCAGAGCAGTGCCCACAGGAAAAGTCTGAGGCTGGGGGAATTCCTGGGGAAACATCCTTCTTCCCAAGAATGATATAGGACCCCGCATCTTCACCTCCCCAGAAGACCACATCTGTGCCACCTTCCCTTCCTCCCACAAGAGCGCAGGGCTTAGCAGGGCTGCAGGGATCAGGCTGGACTGTCACAGAGGAGCGAGGAAAACAGTCAAGCAACAGGTTTGTCCTCCCAGATCCACTATTTGTCACCTCGCAGCTGTCCCAGACTGGCGATGCCTTGGTAGAGGCAAACCCACTAGCACATCCAGGGCTCCCCCCCTCTCCATCCTCCCTCCACCCTCCATCCTCTTCCTCCCCCGGGGCTGGCGCCCCGCCCCGTGCCCGGAGGCGGGACCGGGGCTGGCGGGGACTGAAATCGAGCTGCACGGAGGGAGCAGGTGGAGAGACACGGCCCCGCCGCACGCATGGTACTTGTCCCGGTAGCCCTGCACCCGCTGCTCACCTCCACCCCGCAGCTCCTGCCTTGGATGCGTGGGCTGGTGTCTTCTGGAGAACTGATGCCTCCTTCTGTCCAGGCTCCCCACCGATGGCTCTGATCTCCTTTGCCTTCCCCTCGACCCCCAGCCTGGGACGCCCGGCCTCTCCCCCAGGAGTGGGGATGGTCGCTTTCTTCCTGGCAGGCTGTGCCAGCCACCTGCCAGTTGCCTTGGAGTATTTTCCCATGACATGTCCCTGCCTTGCTGGGTCATCGAGCCCTCTTAGTCTGTGACAATTCCCCCTGCTTCACTGATATCCTCCAAGGCTGCTGTCTCTTTGGCTTTCTGGTTTTCACTCACCCTATTCCTTGGCCACATCCTATTCAGACCTCGCTCTCAGCTGGTCCTGCCCCTTCGGAGGCTTTGAGAAGAGCGGACATCTTCACGTGGAGGTACAGGCAGAGTTCGTCCTTGTTCAATAGGATACTGGCTGCAGCAGGAACAATTTGGGAGCCATGGGCCGTCGGCTCATCCATGGTCTCTCTGGAGCTGCAGTCTTCCTTGTCAGCATGGCTCTCCTCTCTGTGCGGCACCGTGGGGCTCAGAAAACAGCTCGGTACCCAGAGCTCAGGGAGGGAATGTTGGAGAAGCCAGAGCAACAGAGCAAAGCGAGCCCAGAGGGAGGTGGTGGCAGGAGGCGAAAGGACCTGCAAGTGCATCCTCTGGAGGGATACAGGACTGAGGGGAGCCTGACGCTTGGGGACATTTTCATAGCAGTGAAGACAACCAAGAGATTTCACCAAAGCAGGATGGAGCTGCTCCTAGACACATGGATATCCCAGGCCAGAGAGCAGGTGAGCATGTAGATTTGGACTAGAGAGAGTGTGTTTGGTAACGGCACAGGGGTGGGGTGTCGGTGAGGGGCATAAAGGCCAAAGGAAGAGGAGGCTGGTCACTGCAATCTCATCCAGTACCTGCCTCATTTTCCCTAACTCTCACTTCTGTTCATGTTGAAAGAGGGATGCTACCCAGCAAAATGTTTCACCGGTAGTTGATTCATGGCAAAGGCTGGCAGAGAAGATGAAGAGCTTGTGTGGGCTCTTCCCACGAAGGCTGGGAGGATGAGTGCTGTTAGCAGGCATCACCTGCCCCTAACCTAAGCCTGACTCTTTCAGCCTGAGGTGGAAGTGATTTACTTTCAGTTTTTGAACCAGTAACACCAGGGGCTGCCTAGGCCACACAGACTGCCTAGGCCACAGCAGACTGAGAGCACAGACTGGGTCTGTGTGAAATGGTGTTTTTTCTACCTCCTAGTGCCATGAGTTTGCGAGGTTTTGAGCTGAGTGCCTCCCCCTGGCCCTCCATCAGGACCCCTGCATTGTGCCTGGGCACCCTTTGCACTGGGACGGTGTGGTGCAGTGGACAGGAGGGCAAGGCAGGAGGACCTGGAGTGCAGGAGGGGTACAGGCAGATGAGATCACTGTGGCAGCCCTGTTCACTCACCAGCACATGAGCGGAATCCATGCCTTGCTTTCTTGGGCATATGCCCTCACATGCATGATCTTGAAGTGGTGTGGGTGCATATTTGATTTTTTTTTTTTTTTAACTGGCAGTCTGATATTTCTACCCTTTGCTAAAGCAGAGTTTGGAGAGTTTCCTTCCTGTTAGAGGAACTGATGTGGGGCACCATGTTGGTGGTGCTTGCAGATTGGCTTACTGGTAGGCAGAAGTACTCCCCAGAGCCTGGGTACTTCTCTCCCTCCCTTGCAGAGCTGCGCCTCAAGAAAGAAGAAATCTTAAGGCTGCCCCCAAAGAGTGTGTTTTTTTTTACCTCTGCCTGTGTGTGATGGGTGCCTAGAAGACAAATTCAGGCCTCAGTGAGGAAGGGGTATGGGGGCGGAGGTATTGGGTAGGAGAGCGCTTGAAGCAGTGCAGGGTTTTCTGGGTAAGGGTGGTTTTCCACTTCATGGTGCTGCAACTGTCTGGTCTGCTGCGGTTGACACAGGAAACCATGTCCTATTTTGAGCATGCTTCCTCTCCTCTCTGCTAGTCCCTCTCAGCATCTGAAATGCCCCGCTTCCTCCTCCAGATGCACTTCTCCTCTCCACCCGACCTCTCTTTGGAGAAACCAAACCCAACCTCATGGCTGCACTGGCATTCAGATACAGTGACTGGGGCTTTTGGAGTGGGTTTTTAAAGAGCAGCTCACCTTTCCTTCCTTGTGTGTTTGACAAACAGGCACCTGGCTGTTCTGCTGATGACAGGAATTAGATACTAGCTCCCCAGGTTCATCTGACCCTCTCTGTTTGGCAGGCAAATGATGTCCAAACCTGGGAAGAGGTGTTGAATTTTTCCATGCTGCTGCCAGCCTCTAGGAAAGCTTCGCAAACTGAGCAGAAGAATAGGAAGGAAGGGTAGAGTGGGAGCGTCAGTCATTTTTAAACAGTGTTTTTTCATTGTTATCAATTTTTTGTTGCAAGCTCAGTGTTTTCCTCCCCCTGCCTCAATTTTCCATGTTTTTCTTCTGCTTCTTTTACTAAATGGCCCTGAGGGTGGGGGAGTGGGGGTGGGGAGGGAGGTGTAGAGAAGTAAATGAAAGCCAAAAGCCTTTTTCTTTGGGTTTTTTGGGGTTTTTTTGGTTTTTTTTAAATATACTGCTGCTTGAGGGTGTTTTTGGAGGTAGGGGAAAGGGTTAGTTTTTAAAAATTGAGAGTATAGAAACCTTGTTTAGCAAAAATAAGAGAGTTCTTCATTTGCAAAGGATATTTAATAGTTGTGGGTCCAGTGATAGAGCACCAGACCTCCTATTATTGAATCTTTATGGAGAGGCATAGGCTTCAAGAGCCCGTTCCGGAGAGATACAGGTCTCAGAAGCCCTGATGTGCAGAGCCTGCCTCCTCCTAGGGCTGACCCACCATCTTGCTGTCTCACTCACTCATGGCTGGAGACTGTTTCAGGGGGTCCTTCTCTGCAGGTGGTCAGCGGGGAATATTTAGCAGCTGGCCGCGCTGCTAATGCCAAGCCTGGTTTCAGAGCTGATTACCTGCATGGTGTCCTCCCAGAGGAAGCAACCCAGAACTCACAGGTCAGGCTTAGGTGACTGTAACAGGAGGCAGGAACAGCTGTGGTTTTTATGGCTAGGACAGACTGTACAGGAGCCAAATTAAAAGTCCTCTATGTTGGACTGTTGTGGTAGACTTATTGAGAAAGACATGTTTTCCCTGAAGCTGCACTGTATAAACAGAAGAGAAGACATACAGCTGGTGGGAGAGAGGGAAGGAGGAGTGTGAGGTGGGCACTCTTCGCTGGATCATGCTTTGCCTCTTGAGAACTGATCCATGACAAACTTTCCACTGGAGCTTGATGTGGAAGTCATTTCAGCAAAAGGACTTTTCCTCAGAAAAGATTTTGTCTAAACAGAAGTGTCCATTTTGATGATTGTTTAGGCTGGACAGCAACTTAGAGTGGCTTGCATTCTTGGCTCCTGTTGTTTTGATGGAGATAAATCTAGGTTTCTGGTCTGAAATGGCATTTTGTTTGGTAACATAAACTAATTCTAGCACCTCCCCTCCTTTCAGAAACCCAGACATCCAACCAATTGAAATTAAACCTTTGAATGACCCATCCTGAACTGTTTTTCTCATCTTCAGGGTTGTGAACACACTGTAGACTTTGAGCAGGACACAACAATAACCCTGCTGAGGTGTTTGCATTTTGGAGTGGGTTTCTTCCCAGAGAAGGGATACCCTGGGAGCCTCGGAGATGAACGTGGCCCTGGATTGTCAGATTCCGCATCTTTATTCCCTTTTTCTTGCTAGGCTACTCTCCCAGTGTGGGGTGAAGAGGTCTCAAAGTCTAATGTTTATCCATTGCATGTGCTCTTATGTTCATGGAGAGCTGCCAGGCAAAGCAGTTTGACACCAGTGGCTTCATAACACTGCTTGCATTGCTGTCCTGGAGACACCCTTTCCCACCCAGCTATCTTCTCCACTCCAGAATGGAGGGATGCTTTCTGCGCTGCATCCCTCCTCAGGCCTGGATCAGCTGCCCAGCAGTAGCATTGACAGCCATCCTGGCTCAGTCTCGGTGCGCCCATGGCAGGCACCACGATGGGAGATCCTGCATGGCCCCATGGGTGGTCTGGTGGAAGGCGGTAGATATGATGGGGAGGCTGCTTCTGTCTACCCCGTTTGCCTGCAGGGACACAAGTGACACCAGGTGTTCCTCCGCTTGCATGCCCCCAGCAGGGAGAGTAGGTCTAGCGTGGCCAGAGAGACCTTCTGAACCTCTTCCAGACTCCATTAGTATGGACAACAGTGGCTGATGTCTTCTTGAGAAGGACCTGTGTAACTGGGACAAATGGTCTCCATTCAGGTTTTTAGCTAGGGCCCTTCTCTCGCTCTCCCATCCCAGGCATCGTGTGTGGCTTTGCTGAAGGACACATGGTGGCAGTCACTCAGATGCCAGCAGCAGCTGCTGTTCCAGGTTGCCCACTCTCAGGGACATGAGCAATGGAGAGACAAGGATGCAGGCAGCTGCCTGTGCTACTGTGATCTCCTTCAGTACAGAGCCAGGGCACACACTCCAGCATCTCTGGAGTACTGTAGGCAGGTGTGCCATAGAGATCAGAGTTTGGGAGAGCCAGAGAAATCAGATATGCCTAGTCCCCGCACTCATAGCCCCCTTTTCCCAGTTATTTTGGACACTCTGGTGTTCCCCATGGTGACAATGTTCCTTTATCCTTGGGTTCCCACAAAAACATGTTGAGTGACTGCAAAAGAAAACATTTCCCACCTTGCATCAAGAGAAAAGTGGGAACCTCGGAATATTTTCACAAGTAGAAAACATGGGAAAACACGCAGATTCCTATTTTAAGTCAATCAGATATGCTATTTATTAGGCACATGGTTTCTAGTCAGTTTTATATCTGTAAGCAAGTCATTTCCAGCAAGAATGTTTCTGGGGTTTTTTGAAAATGTCAGAAAGTTTCAGTGGTTTCAGAATTCTTTTTCTTAATGTGAAATATTTGTCATAGTGGAAATTTCTGGCTTTGACACACTGGAGAGGGAAATCTCGTGCCACTGGCAATCCCTGCCTTGCCTGAAGGTTGTGATATGGTTCCCTGACCCAGAGCGACTCCTTTACCTGAGACTTAGCTAATTGCTTCTTGTCCCGTGACCACCTTGAAAGTGGTTTAAACTAAGAGACTTTACAAGCGGGGTTGGGTAGGAATGTGTGCATGGCCCGCTGCTGCAGCTCAGCTGTTGGAGGGTAATTTGCCAAGTCACTGTAGCATGTACATTTGAGATCATGAAACCATCCTGCTGTCTCTGCTTGAGCCAGGTGGTCTCTGAGGGTCCTTCATTGCCTTCTTTTCATGTGCAGAACATTTCTCTTGCCACATCCTCCTGATGGGGGCGTATCTCCCAAATGCTGGGTGGGTGTGGGGAGATGTAGAGACTCTCGTCTTGTTCTGACAAGAGCCTTTGGGAGCAATGACGGCTCCTGGAGCTGTTGTTTGCCTGCCTTGTCCCCTTTGTCCCTGCCCAGGTGCTGCGTTTAACCAGCCTGTGGGCAGCTGGTGGAAAGGCTGTTTACGGCTTGCGTCTCCTTTTTGATTTCATGAAAGCTCATTTTCTGCCTGAGGAAAGCTTTTCTCCACCAGCTCCGATCCCTGCCTGGCCCTGAAGAGGGGGAGATGTGCCACATAATGGCAGCGAGGGGGATTAGAGAGGCCTGGGGGTGGAGGAAGAGGAGGAGGAGGTGGGAAGCAGCAGGGGGCTGTGCACAGTTAACACACAAACAGATGTTCTCCCTTTAACTGGGGCATTGTTCAGCCATGGTGCTTTCATTTTTCTACCACTGACACCTAAGCCAGGGCTCCCTCACCCACTCACTCCATGTCATGGGTCCCCTTCTCACTGCTCCCAAGAGGGTGAGGGGGGTGGGTGGGAAATGAAGCCACACAAGTACTGATGATTGTGCCATGCAGAAAGGGGGAGTGCGGCCATCTCTCTGCTCAACTGCTGCTGTGGAGTTGGGGCATGGCAGCAGAGGATGGAGTGGGGTGACGATGGTGAGGGTGTCCAGCTGTGGGGAGAAAGGGGTGCACGGCCAGGAGCGTCACAAATTCCAGCCCTGAGATTAACCACTTTTCCTTGTTTTGACAGACCTATGTCTTCACCGATGAAGAAGACGATGCCCTGAAAAGGAGAATGGGTAACTAACTGTCCTGTAACACCACCACCTCCCCCAGTCCTTCAGCCTCTGAATTGCCACGGCCTTGGGAGGGTGTCCAGCATGAAGGCTGACTCTCCTACACCAGCACTGCCTCTTAAAGCGCACCCTTTGCCATGTCCCGTGGGAGGACCGCAAGCTGCAGCGGTGATGATTTGGTTTAGTTGGCTTACCTCAGGGCATGCAGCCAACTGGAGGCAGGCTGCTTTCTGCCTTAAAGCATCCATGGGTGGAAGTAGGCCTTAAAAGAGCCCTTCAGCCCCTGCACCCTGTCTGGCAGTGGGCAGGGTGGAAGTGGAGTTGGCAGGTGTCCTAATCTTGGCCAAGATGCTTGGCTTTCTCCAGGTTTCAGGCTCCTGGTAGAGGAAAGGATGGCACCCACATCACTGTGGGACAGGCTCAGAGGCCTGTTCATGGGGCCACAAGAAGGTTGGCTGCGAACAAATCCCTTCCTTCCCACCCAGAGGTCCTCCCTGTGACCATGCAAAGTAGGCCACAGCTTTCTTTGTCCTGGCAGGTGATCATGCGATCTTCACCAACTGCTCTGCCGAGCACAGCCACCTGGCCCTCTCCTGCAAGATGGCCGCTGAGTTCGATGCCTTCCTGTCCAGTGGCCGGAGGTGAGGCAGGACTGCCACTGGGGGGGACCCCTGAGAGCAAGAGGCACCCTCCTTACCTCTTGTGTCTTTGCTCCCATCTCCCACCAGCTGGTTTTGCCATTTGGATGATGACAACTACCTAAACCCTCGGGCCCTCCTGAAACTTTTGTCCTCCTACTCTGCGACATGGGATGTCTACCTGGGGAAACCCAGCCTGAACCGACCCATCCGAGCCTCTGAAATGCTGCCAAACAACCAGACGGTACAGCCCGTGGTGGTGGTGTGGGAGCCAACAGGTTGTTTTTAGTGCTCTGGCTCATTGGCTGTAAAAGTACCCCAAGGAGAGACAGGCCCCAAGAGCAACAGCCAACAGCTGAAAAACACTGTCTAAACATGGTTGTAGGTGTTGACTCAATCCGATCTACCTAGAGGAAGAGTCCCACATTGCTGCAGTGCCTTTGGGTACCTGTCTGCCAGGAGATAAGCCTGCCTTGGGCAGCCCACCTGTGGCTGCCAGCAGGAACTTGGACACTCCAAATATGAGGAGGTCAAAATCCATGCTGTACTGCTGGCAAGTCCTTCTTCTGGGCAGCAGTCAAGGGTTTGGGGTGACAATAGGGCTGTGTTTACCCTGGCATCAAAGCTGGGTTTTCAGCATTCCCCTCTCAGGGAGTACGGTATTATCTGAGCCTCTGTCATTGATTTTCTCTGCTGTTTCTCTCCAGAAATCTGTGCACTTCTGGTTTGCCACAGGAGGGGCTGGGTTCTGCATCAGCCGCAAGCTGGCAAGCAAGATGGTGCCATGGGCCAGGTGAGCTGCGCAGCTGGTGAGTAAGGGAGTCTTTAGGGACGAGGAACATGGCTGCACATTAATTCCTGGCAGTGTCAGATCTGGATTTGTGTATGTGATGTTTGCAAGGATGTTTACAAGGGTGCAGAGTGGCATATGCTACACATCTGCCAGCACATGGGACTGGAGGAAGGATGTAGTAGGTGGGTCTGCCACTGGGCACGTTTATCGAGCGTGATTGTAGGATGACATACTCCCCTCTCCCCAACTCCTTTCAGCTCTTGGTTATTCCCCGACACTTCTTCCCATCCCTTTCAGCTTGCTTTGACTCTTTTCCTAAGTGCTTTCCCTGTCTGCCTATCTCCTCTCCCTTTAATATGCTTCTTTCCAGCCTCCTGTACCTACCTCCTGAGCTAATTTTCCATTCCCCCACCCCAAACTCTCTTCAGCTTCTTACAGTGCCTACTGTCATTTCCTCAGCTTGGTGCATGGAGAAGAGAGAAAGGTCCCGGGGTCTTGTGTTAGCCCAGCCTCCAACAAGATGATGTTTTCCATGATGCCCTAAGTTATATCTCAGGCTATATGCACATACACTGATAAGCAATGGCTATGCCAGCCTTAACCAGATCTGTGCATACCCAGAAAGACAGATCTGATCCACACCAGGTGGCTGGTTTAGCTGGAGCCCATGATATGTATTTTATGGTAGACCCAGACAGGAGGATGATCTGTGATTTAGGGTAAAATGAAAGTGGCATGGATAGATAATGCCTAGCCTGGCACAAAGTCTGCCACTGCTGAAAATGCTTAAAACACATTTGAACTAGCTGATGTGTTACAGTAGGCAGTGCTTCATCCTGTGTGACTGCCTCCAGTTACAGGAGCCTTAAAATTGCATTTAGCCTTTCAGCAATGGATGGCCAAGTGTGTGGTATTAAATTACAGTGGAGCCATGGATAGCTTATTCAAGCTGCACAAGACTCTCCTGTTTCTTCTTCCTCCTGGTCCTGGTCATGTGGTCCCACTCTTTCTCTTGGGCTGACTTGTATGACCCCTCAGACTCAGCGCAGCTCACCAAACAGGTGGAAAAGGGACTCGGCAAAGTCTGCCAGCTCTCTGCATCAGCTCACCGAGGAGCTGGATGCATATCAGGGACAACACCTGACAACTGGTGGGACAGCATGGTTGGGAGTGATCAAAGAGCAAACACATTCCCAAATGTTTGCAGGTGGCACTCGGGGATATCTTTCCTAGTTCCAAGATTTACTCTGGTTTTCAGTTAGGTCCTTCATTTATCTCCCCCCTAAGTGGATGCCTCTATACCTTCCTACCCTTTTCCTAACCCATGCAGCCCTACTGTCTTCCAGTGGCAGGAAATTCCTGAGCACGTCAGAGCTCATCCGCCTGCCAGATGACTGCACCGTGGGTTACATTATTGAGTGCAAAGTCGGTGGACAGCTGCTGCCCAACACACTCTTCCACTCCCACCTGGAGAACCTGCAGCTTATCCCCCCATCTCGTCTCATGCAGCAGGTGAGGAGGGGAAATGGAGCAAGAGGGAGGTATGTGAGGAAGGAGAAGCGGAGGGGACCTTACAGGCACATTGCTCCATTGGTGGCACCGATGTGGATTGAATAAATCATCTGCTCTTTTGAGGAGGCTTTCCTGACAACTGCTTCTTTGAAATAAAGAGCGGATGTTGCCTGCAGCACAGATGCCATTCACAGTGCCCCTGGCATCAGCGGTGGGGAGCACATGTATGGGGAGTGATGGGAGGATCAAGGGCATACCTGGGGGAATGTGGCACAAGGACAAGCAGAAAAGAGGATTGTCCGGGGAAGGAGCTTTGACATGGCACCATGTCTGCCTTGTGTGGGGAGAAAACAGGGTGTGTAGGGGTCTTGGAGAGGCAAAGGACTAGCATGGTGGACCATCATGGGAAGGAAGACGGGAGAGACATGGAAGGCAGAGATAAAGCCAGCAGAGAAGGAACCAGAATGGGAGCTTCTTTGCCCAAAACAAGTTCCTTGCTCCTGAATTCACTTCATCGTCCCTGCTCCTTTCTCACCGCCCCTCCTTGCAGGTCACCCTCAGCTATGGTGTCTTTGAGAACAAGCTCAATGTTATTGAACTCAGCGGCCCCTTCTCACCCCAAGAGGATCCCTCAAGGTACAGGACGTGAGTGCTCTGGGTGTTGCTGTGGTGTGAGCCCACAGACAATAGGCTGGGAGGGGGAGGCAGCCAAATGGAGTGCAGGAGGTCTAGAATGAGGGACAGAAATCTTGCAGTCACATGGATTATTGAGTGGAGGCCACACCAGCACTAAGCTGCTTGTGGATGCTTACAAACTTTGCAAACCTTTTTGGGTGAGCGGGAAGAATAGGAGTATCAAAACATTTTATTTGGACAATTCCTGAGCCAAAAGTATTGCCATTTATTTCACATTTTGAGCCTGAACAAGCTAACCTTTTACCTCTGGGATAAGAACAGAAATATTCTTTTAAACCCAAGAAAGGAAATTCTGCTTGCTTTTTCATTTTTTGTTTTGTGGAGAAAACTGAAGGGAAAAAAGAAAAAGGTTCACTTCAGGCTGACTGCAAACAAAAGTGTTCTTTGATTTACCTTCTCTGCTTTGAGTGAACAAACCTAAAGTTGTTATTTGCAGAGCATGGGTAGGAAGCTCCTGGCTGGAGATAGAAGGGGTGGGAAGCAGCTAGGCGATGAAAAGAGCATCAACAGAACCATGTAACAGGGGCTGGTGCAGTGCCCATCTTCCTGCCTGTGATCAGGGTGAGCCACGGGCTTGGGCTACATGGGCCAGAGCTGGATTCAGATGTTGGAGAGAGGCTTGGCTGCTTAGCTTTGCTGAGAAAAAACATCTTGAGGTGAACAACTAGTCCTGGAGCTCTGTAGTGCAGGGTGGGTGCCTGATGTGGGATGGGACATGAGGGAGAGGTCTTCCATTCTCCATCTGTGCACTGATGTAAAAACTGTCACCTGGCATTCTTTTGCTCTCTCTCCCCAGCAGGTTTCGATCACTCCACTGCCATCTCTATCCTGACACCTCCTGGTGCCTGCAGGCTGTTGGCTGGTGATACCTGAGCTTCAGCTACAGTGGGTCCTGGTGACATCCATTCACCTTGTGTGTGTAAGGGGTGAGACACTGAAGAAGCTTAGTGCTTCTGATTTCCCCTTTTCTATGGTGGTCTTGCGGCTGTACGATGGCTTTTTTGGTCCTCGCTGAACACTGGTGACACAGGACAAGAGGCAAGATCTGTCCCAAAGATGGACAACATGGTCTGGACACATGGATGGGCTTCCCATCCGTGCTGGGATAAGTGTAGTATGCCTTCCTGAGCAGATCAAGGACTGGGTAATGACTGCTGGGCATCTGGGTAGAGATGAGGACCTGCTGCTGCTCCTTGCTGTGGATTCATCTTGCTGCACTAGAAAGGGCCTGGGTATGGGTAATCAGTGCCCAGCTGAGGATGGCTGACAGCATGTCATGGCTCCAGTCTCTGTGAGCAGGCCCTCTTCCTCCATATCTGCCTGTGCTTTCCCCACTGCCTGCTCTTCCCAGCCACAGACCCTTGGCTGAGACTCTGCTTAGTCAAGGTCTATAGAAATGGGAAATGTGACTATTTCTGTGCTGAATGAGTGCTGGAAAAGCATAGTCCTTGCTTGGCAGAGGGGAGATGGGCAGCAAGTACAAAGAATCAGGAATTGCGCCCTCAGCCAGGACAAAGGAGAGAGGGTGGGGTGGGGGAGCCAGGAGGAGACAGATAGAGCTGGGGATGATTCCTGCACTGAACATTGAAGGCTTGATCTTGTATCGCCCTGCATTATTCCTCTCTTTTTTACCTTCTTGATATGGGGTCAAGATAATCTCTTGCTCTAATTACCAACCTGTCATCTGAGATTAGACTCCAGCTCCTACCTGTGAGAGAGGAGACACAAAGGATTAGAACTGGCTGAAAGAGAGGAGAAAGGAAGAGATGGAGAAGGAGTGCTCAGGAGCGGATTAGAGGTTACAGGTTTATAATCTTCTCCTGTGCCCTGATCAAAAAAAAGTCATGAAGGAATCGAAACAGCAAGGCAAAGAGCTTTTTACGTCTGTTTCTTTCCTCCAGATTCTAAGAGCAGCTTTCTGCCTTCCTGCTGTCCCTGCTGAGCGCAACAGGGGGAAGGAGCAGGCCCAAATAGGTTACGAGCTTTCTGGCATGTTTGTGGAGAGTCCTTTTCTCAGTGCAGAGCCTGGCATGAAACTGGGCAATTCTGCTTGCTGGGGAATGAACTTTGGCACCCTTTTGTCTTTGTACACACAGTTAAATGGCTGGGGGAGAGTGTTTCAGGCAAAGCTGGAAAGCAAAGATGCTGTTTTAAATGGCAGGTGGTGCCACAAACAGGTATTTCACTTTAAAGGGCATTTCAAAACACACTGCTGGGACCTGTGAAAGATTCTTGTAATCTCCAGATCAAAGGACAAATGCCCTTTCTCCAAAGAGCTGCTCAGCTTTGATGCTGCTGATGTGACTAAGCCTGCGGCTGGTGGGCTGGAAGAGCCAAGGGTGACTATCATTGTGCCTCTGCTGTTTGGAAAACTGGCCACCCTGTTGCCTCCTCCCACTGCCCCGAAGCAGCAGCATCTCCAGCACAGCACACACAAGGTTTAAAGGAAAGGCATCAGGAAGACCTTTCACCTCTGAAAAAGGTGATCTAGAAATGAACCAGCACTTTAATTTCTGGAGAAGCAGAAAGCAGGAGCCTGTAGAGCTGTTTTGCAGCCTGGTCATTCTTACTGGCAGTTAACCAGCTTGTGAAGCAGCAGAGAGCCCTGCTTTCTTCTCTTGCACAACATGCCTTTGAACTGGAAATTCATCCTGAGCAGGGACAACGGGTAGCTGATGCCAATGACTATTCCTTGAGTTGTGCAAAGCAGTTGGCTCACAGAGCTATGCGAACCTAGGAACCATGTGGCTCAAAACAGAGACACCCAACTATTGGAAGACAGTTGCAGCATGAAGAAGTCCTGCCCCACAGGGCAAATGGTTTGGTTTGAACTCAACCAGAAGATGAAAAATGCTTCTGCAAGAAGAAATGAGAGTCTTCAAGAGAAATCTATACTACCCGGATATCTTATTTTTTTCCCCATTCAAACTTTTAGCTGTTGTTAAATGAGACTTTGAGTTTAAAAGCCAGTTCTGTCTGTAGATGTCCTGGTGACAGTCAAAGCAAAATGCAATTCATGTGCTGGGAGAAGGAGAACAACTGGTACAGCAGCTTCCCTTCTCTGAGGAAAAGCAAAGCAGAGAAACTGGAAGCTTGCTTTGGATCTTGGCCTCAGCTGGTATGAATTGACCTGGTGCCTTTTGCATGGCTGCAGATCAGATATTAAATGGGTTGAGTCCTTGAGCGGCTGTGTGGGGACTGATTTTAAGACTGGGCTTCATTGCTGGAGCTGTTAAGTGCTACTTCTGTGGAAAATGTCTTGTCTCATAAGGAAACCGAGAACAGACGAGAAGATGTCTGGGGCAGGGCATCTCTTGGGCTGTAGAGAAACGAATGACAGAAAAGTCCTGTTATGCCTGTGACGACAATGCGCTGGAAAGAAAATAGCTTCTTGGAGTCGACAAAAGAAACCAGGTTTTCTCTAAGAACAGAGAGACAGCTTAAGGGGACATTCACCACATGAAATCTGATCAACGTTAAAACCTGAGTTAAAATTAGTTTCAGGAATGGTTCCTGCCCCTGGGGCTTGCTGTCAGATGTTGTGGTTTTACAGTCTCATTTTCCTAGTTTATTAAAATGTTTAGCTGCTTGGGAAAATGAGAAACAATCCCACATGAAACTTTTCAGGGGACTGTCTTTTTTTATTCTCCTTCATGATTTTCTGATGTAACAGTTAAAAGTTTTTGGAAAGGTTCCACTGGGTCTATGATTTTTTTTCTTTCTCTTTTTTTATATCTTTCTCTCCCTTTCTCTACCTCATGCTCCCTTTTCTCATTGCAGGAAAAAAAAGCCCTCTCCCATGAATGAAAAGGATGGAGACATGGTCTTTATATTTTACTGGGAAAAATGGGGTCAAAGTCAAAGGTGTTGGCATGACCCTGCTGTTGTACAACATTAAGTGTAGTTCAAGGTTTCAAGTACAGAAACCTCAGCCTGCCCAACACCATAGCAACCAACATTATTAATGATGTTTAAGCTGTATACTGAAGATTCAGAAAAAGGAGAAGGAGGGGGAAAAAAGCAGTTACAGTATTCAAAATGTAAAGTATTAAGTGGGGCGTTCATGTTAACAATAACCTTTCTTCACTTTCCCTTTAGCTGTGAAGAATTTTTATAAGGAAACCCCTATTTGACAGTGAAAAAAAAATGCTAATGACTATCCTTTCTTTAGGGGGAAAAGAGAAGTTAGTTGAAATAGGTGGGAAACTGCAGTTGTTGCTAAAGACTTGAAGGGGAGAGAGAAGAATAGCAACGCTAGACAATGTTTCTGTCCCTGGTGCCAACTCCTCTTAACAGCTCTGCTGCCGAAGAAAAACAGATTTCTAAGCCTCTGTGGGATTTACCCAACTCGTACCCAGATTGCAGCCTTCAGCTCTCTCCCCAGGCCTCTTGCTAAAGATGCAGCCTTCAAAAGATGAGCAGTTTATCAGGCAGAAGCCAAAAGGTGAGAAATAGGAACAGGAAGAAAGGCGATTGGAAGGAAAGAAACCACCAAACGGGGCCTTGGAGGAGAACTTGGGAATTTGAGCTGTGCATTGAAAGTGCTGTTTGGGAGCTACCCAGCAATAGCGGGAAAGGGGGTGTTGCCTGGCCCTCCAGCTCTGGATGTTTTTGTGATTAGGAGAGTTGTAGCCCCCCAGTGCCACAGAGGATGCCAGGCTGTGAGTCAAAGTTCACCTTGGAAGAGCTGAGATCAGGTTGGTTGGCCCCAAACCTCTTTTTTTTTTTTTTTTTAATAACATTCCAGATAATTTGATGTCTTTTCATCTGACATATTCAATTCCTTACAGCAGATTTGGCCTCTTAATTTTGATAATTCTTCTGCCGTGGTTTGCAATGCAGGCTCTTCAGACAGTCCAGGTGTGGGATCAGCAGCTCTTTTAACTAATTTATTTAATTTCTTTTGTCTTCAGTCCCTGAAAAACCCTACAGGACAGCTGGCTTGCCCTTTTGCACCACAGGCCACCAGGGCTCTACACACCTGAGCACACTTCTCAGGTGGATGAGAAGGAGGGTGGGTGACTGCTCCATTCAGTAACTGAATGGGCACAGAGAGGCATGAACCATCCTTATGTTCTTCCTGGAGGCACCTGCTAGCAGCTGGTGCCAGAGGTGGGATCTCACACTAACTGGGACTTTCTTCTGTCCCAAATACTGCTCAGCTTATGGCTTCACTGAAGAGGCTGTGAGTCTTACTGTAGATTCAGGAAGAAGAGCAGCATCACAAATGTACAAATTCTCAGCAGCTGATGCAGGAATTTTTCTTCTAGACTTTCTGCCCAGTTACCTGGGAGGTTAAAGGAACACAGGGCTGAAAAGTTGTTGCTCAGCTGGCATTGCCTCTTTAAGGCCGTTCCTTGACAGCCTGGGATTTTTGTTGCTCCCTGTTTGATCCAGCTTGGACTCCAAGAAAGCCGGGAACTCATCTCTCTCCCTGTTTGAACTGTATGTGATTAATTGCAGACCCTGAGAATGGGTTCCTTGCCTATCTCTTGTGTTTAAATTGCCTTCCAGTATTTTGCAAGGCTAAGGAGCCTCTTCAGATGTTACCTCCAACTGTGCCTCGGTCAAGCCTCCCTTGGTTTTGCTGGGAGCTGCATCTGATTCATGGTGATCTTTGAGAACAAATTAAATTGAGTGCTTTGTACATGGATTTGCTTGCCCTGACCCTTCTGCTGCTGCTTGAGAAGAAGACAGTGTTGATTTTAGCAATGTAGGAAAAAATTGCAACTAAACAGAGTGATTGGATGGGGAGAGATGCTGCTATTTGGAAGCCCTGCTTTCCCATCCCACCCCCAGAAGCTGGACATAGAGAGAATTTGCAGTTTGTGCCTTTGGACACAGTTTATCAGGTGGAGGATTAGCC